ATTCATAGAAACATATACCCTAAAAAAGTTTTACTGTATGACTATTTTTAAAATAAAATAATATTTATAAAATTCCTCACGGAAGATTGGTTAACTAAATTAACTTAAGAGGGGAGCTCTGATGGCTCAGTGCCTAAGGCATTTGACTGCTAGCCAGAAGGCTGGCAGTTCAAACCCACCAGCTGCTCCACAGAAGGAAGATTGGGCAATCTACTTCTATAAAGATTTGCCACCTTGGAAACCCAATGGAGGTCGCTATGAATTGGAATCAACTCAACGGCAGTGTGTTTGGTTTTGGTTTGGTAACAAAGGTTTTAAAAATAAAGTTACAGCCTTACCTTTTACCATATATCAAAATATATCCCAAACAGACTAAAAGTTTAAATTTAAGTTATGAAATACTGATATTCTTAATATGCATAAAGCTCTTACAAATAAAAAATGAACATTCTCAGAGACAAGTTAATCAAGATATGAACAGACAATATAGTTAAAGATATGAACACTTATTATCTCACAAATTAATAAATGAATAATAGCAAAGCAATGAGATAGAGCCCTTGTGGCACAGTGGTTAAGTGCTCAGCTGATAACCGAAAGGTTGGCAGTTCAAATCCACTAGCCACTCCATGGGAGAAAGATGCAGCAGTCTGCTTCTGTAAAGATTTACAGCCTTGGAAACCGTAACAGGGCAGTTCTGCTCAGTCTTGTAGGGTTGCTATGAGTCAAAATCCACCCTATAGCATCAGTGTTTGGGTAAAACAATGAGGTAACAATTTTTTGTCAAATGGATTACAAAACAATATATAAAAGAATGGTAACATCTAATATTGGCAGGAGTGGGAAAAGAAACCTAAAGAAAAACTATCGCTCAGAGGCAAAGTGCTATATAATATTTCCAGAAAGTAATTTGGAGACATATATACATATATGTATATATCAAAAGGAGCTCTGGTAGCATAATGCCTAAGGACTTGACTGCTAACCAGAAGGCTGGAGGTTCAAACCCACCAGCCACTCCTCAGAAGGAAGGTTGGGCAATCTACTTCCGTAGTGATACTGCTTCGAA